GGGAGGGCGTCCCTCCCAGAGATGTCTCTGGTGGGGGGAGGGCATCCCTCCCAGAGATGTCTCAGGGTAGGGGGAGGGCGTCCCTCCCAGAGATGTCTCTGGTGGGGGGAGGGCATCCTTCCCAGAGATGTCTCGGGGTGGGGGAAGGGCGTCCCTTCCAGAGATGTCTCTGGTGGGGGGAGGGCATCCCTCCCAGAGATCTCTCAGGGTAGGGGGAGGGTGTCCCTCCCAGAGATGTCTCTGGTGGGGGGAGGGCATCCCTCCCAGAGATCTCTTGGGATGGGGGGAGGGCGTCCCTCCCGGAGATGTCTCCGGGTGGGGGGAGGGCATCCCTCCTAGAGATGTCTCTGGTGGGGGGAGGGCATCCCTCCCAGAAATCTCTTGGAATGGGGGGAGGGCGTCCCTCCCAGAGATGTCTCCGGTGGAGGGAGGATGTCTCTCCCAGAGATCTCTCCGGGTGGGGGGAGGGCGTCCCTCCTAGAGAAGCCCTTACTCTTTGCTGCACACAGGAAGAGAGAGGTCAGCTCACCCTTTCTGAACCTGTGATTTTGCCAGTGTTTTTAGCTTGAAATAATCAATATACCAATCTGGCTTAGTTGGGGACAGCACGTCCTTCACTCCTCCTTTTCCTTGGTCTGAAACTTCACTATACATTTCAAACATTAAAAGCTGATTTGGTGGCTGTGGAGAGGAAAGCTGAGTTAGTAGCTGTTCCCCAGATCAGGGTGAGAGAGGATGAGGAGGAAGAGCACCCCTAGGCCCTGCCCCTACATCCTGTTAAATTGTCTCTGTCCCTGAGAACAGGGACGTTAAATGTTTCAGCTTCACTTCTTTGATGAAGAGTGTTGGCCTTGCCTTTTAGAAGGTGCAGGTCAGACTACCCAGAATCGTTTATGAAGAGGCAACGTTCTCTTTGCCGGGCATCACTGCCTCTGGGCTGGGGGGATTTTGAAGCCTTGCAGAGACCGTGCTGCAATTTCTGACCAGAAGTAACATTGAACTCTTGCTCTGTTATTACAGAAATATTTAGAACTGCTTTTTCAATCTTGTAAACTCCAGTGCCTAGGTAAAAAAGCTCTCAGCATGGAACAAACCTAGAACTGTGACATGCAAGTGGATGGTCAGCGTCACCTCTTGTGGGTTGGTTTGGCACCACCTGTGAGGCAAAGGTCCCAAGCCAGCCCTGTGTCACCTGGGAGGCACACGTGCTCTCTCACCCTCTGGCAGGCACCAGAGACTACGTACGGAGAGACAGAAACTAGGAATGAACTTAGCCAGGGAACAAAATTAAGCCCCGTACCTGCCAAGACCAAACTAAAGGCCTCCCACGTCAGATATTGTGCAACCTTTTCTGTTCCTGTGGACAGACAGGGACAGACAGAGGATGGCGAGACACAGTGTGGATATGACAGGAGACAGGTGTAGCACAGCCCAACCTGGGGCCGCCAATCCCTCCCTGTCTGCATTTGTGGACAGCACTGGTCTGTTGACCTGATGTGGTGATAGGACATATCAAGGGTTCCCGCCTAGATGGCCGGGTAATGTGGACTCAGTTGCTTAGTGCCTCTGTCTCTAGGTCCTTTGCGTTAAATAGCAGCCACATTACAAACTTGGGCTCTTTTGTTTGACTGAATCCAAGCCTCACAGA